TTTTTTTAAGAAAATTAACATTAAGCAAAGATGCATTCAATTTATCAAAAGTGACAGTAAAAACATGAATAATTTTACAGAAGTTTTCTACTTCTAATAAATGTTGTTCTTTTGATCTTTCAAATCAAATAATAATCCTGAAAAAAATGTATCAAAAATATTAGGCAGCAGGAAATAAAAATAATGTTTAGTAATGTTAAGAATTGCTTCTAGAGCAGTAAATCAGCATATTAGAATGATTTCTGAAGGATCATGTGTCACTGAAGACTGGAGCAATGATGCTGAAAATTCAGCTTTGCATCACAGAAATAAATGACATATTATAATATTTTAAAATAGAAAATGGTTATTTTAAATTGTAATAATATTTCACAATATTGCCGTTTTTACTGTATTTTTTATCAAATAAATACAGCCCTTGTGAGCATAAAACACTTCTTTCAAAAACATAAGGACTTCAGTGTGTTGATGGTACTGTGTATCTCTTTACATTTTGAACAAATCGCATGATGCAACTTAATTTCTTTGTTCCAGCATACAGGATCAGGGGACGAGGGAGGTGGACAGTCTCTGGCATCAACAGGAAGCTGTTTGCAGGACTTCCGCAGTCAGCCGTTCGTGGAGTGCCAAGGTCCGCGTGGCACGTGCCAATATTCCCCCACCTTCTACAGTTTCTGGCTGACTAGAGCGAACATGCAGCACTTTGACTCCGTTCCTCACAGTACTGTGCTCAACGGACAGAAACAGCGCGAAAGCATCAGCTCATGCAGCGTCTGCATGAAGAAAAACTGAGACAAGTCTCTCGTGTTTTCTAAAAAAAACTGCACTGAGAATGCACATCAATAGGTCACTGGAGTGGAAGTGATCGAGATGCTTTTGGTCACTTTTTTTGGAGACGATAAAAAGGACATAATTTGTGACCATTTTTGTTGAACTACAGGCTGTGAACTTTTTACTTCACCGGATTTGTTCCCACATAGCTCAGTCTAACATGACTTCCTTTATGTCTTCTCATTTTTATTACATGTTGGTGCTAGTAAAAACCAAGACCATTTGCACAAATGTCTGTACAGCAATGTACATTTTCTCCTTAGTTCCTTGTATAAGCAAGTATTATGTTTGTGCACATCAAAACATTATCAACACAATATTGTAATGCTAGTTTAGCTCTATGGTGTGATTTTATACCAAAACAAAGCATGAATATTGAACCTTGAGAACAAAACCTATATCAAATAGAACCGTATGCTAGCTGCAGATAACTAAATTGCTATTGCTGTCAGTGTAAATGCAGCTTTTGGCAGGTAGTTGCATTTTTTTTCTGTATAGAAATCAGCAGATTACTGGATTTATACACTTGAATTTATAATTTTCTTGAATTTAAACCAAGCATTGTGCAGAATTAAGTTATCTTTGTTCAGCTAATTATTTGGGGAAAATCCAGTCATTTCAATTGGAATCCACGTGATTTCACTTAAAGGTGAGAGATTTTACCATGCAAATTTCCCAACTGGTTCAGAGAATCAGCTGACCAACAGACCAGTGGCGGCTCGTCGGGGGAGGTAGGGGAGGCACAGCTTCCCCATAATTTTGAGGTGAAAATGGGAGGAGGACGATTTTAATGTTAATAAAATTAACAATTCATTTCAGTTCATGTCTCAGAATGTGTATTTTTTGTTTGTAATTTCACAGTTGTAATACCATAACGTGAAAGCGCCGCTTTTCTATCGCGAATGTGCCGAATCTGCTGATGTAATTGCAACCGCTAATGATAGAGAAGGGGAGGGGGAGGCCGGGGGAGAGATGAGCTCTCGTGCCTCCGTTGGTAAAAAAAATTAGCCAATCACCATCGAGTGTTCACTTTCAGTGCTGAGGAGTGTTGAGAAAAGAACCCTTGCAAGGGAGGCTAGCCTCCCTTCTGATATCAACCAATCATCATAGACGTAAATTACGTGATAATAGTTTGAACGTCTCCCGCTGCCCTGATAATGTACCAAGTACTTATGATAAGTAGCGATATTAAATATTTGATCGCCAACAGATTTACCAAGCTGTCATTCAAACAGTATACAAATGTAGGGAAAACAGCCTAAGCTGGATATAGGCTACAGCAGACGGCTTAATTAAATGGCGCAACAGGCAGCTCTCTTTTAACACAGACTTTTAAGAAGGGATGGATGTTTGCTTCAAGTGATAGGCCAGGTAAGTGAAATTATATTATCTTGCTGTATGTGGGTCGTTTTCTTTAAGTTTTCTGACTAAAAGCAACCAAAAAGACATTTTAAAGTGGTTAAGCAAATAATAATAATAATAATAATAATAATAATAATAATAATAATAATAATAATAATAATAATAATAATAATAATAATAATAATAATTATTAAGAAGTCAGAAGTCAGAAAGAGCTTTATTACCAAGTATGTTTACACATACAAGGAATTTGACTTGGCGACAGGAGCTTCCAGTGCAGAAGAAAGCATGGACATAGTGTAAACATACATGACAGTGCAGACATACATAGGAATTACACAGTAGAGATGTGAAATAGCTGTTTGCTATCAGCTATTTCTACCTAATTTAACCCATAAACATGAGCGTTTTGGTATGAATGGTTGTATATAGGTTCAGTGATGTTGAATAATATTTCTGACTCGAAAAAACCAAACCAAAACCAGTTGATTTAGATATTACTATTTTAGGTTAGCATTTTTTTCAGTGAAGGAATAAAGGCTACACAAGTTTGAAACAACATGAGGGTGCGTAAAGATGACAGAATTAAAATGTTTTCATCTCCAACGCAAACATTTACAGCGCGCTAATCCAGAGGCCGCGGCGAATACCAGAAGCGATAAAACTACAGCCGCACACACTTCCTCGTCCAACAACAGTGGCCGCAAAAAAAATCAGCTCCACAGTTCCTTTAGCACTCATGAATCCACCTCCTTGACAATTTCCTTGTCATTTCACCAAATCATTCTCCTGCAGCTAAACACGTAACTGTTATCCAATCCGTGTTTTCAAAACTAGGAGTTCCCCTCTCTCCCGGAAAAAATATAGGCTACAGCAGTCGGCTTAATTAAATGGCGCAACAGGCAGCTCTCTTTTAACACATACTTTTAAGAAGGGATGGATGTTTGTTTCAAGTGATAGGCCAGGTAAGTGAAATTATATTATCTTGCTGTATGTGTGTCGTTTTCTTTACGTTTTCTGACTAAAAGCAACCAAAAAGCCATTTTAAAGTGGTTAAGCAAATTATAATAATAATAATCGGCAGGGATCCCAGACCAATACAATTAGTGTGCCTCCTCTATTTTAATACCCACGAGCCGCCACTGCAACAGACAGCTGCTTGGTTTGAAAGTGACTTATGTGTGCGCTGTGCTAGAGGTCTGCGCGGGACTGTTTTTTTAGTCCCGCTCCCGCAAGGTTCTATTCCGCACCCACCCGCTCCCGCTATATATTCACTCTTTGTTCACCGGCTGTCTGCTTAGAACAATTTTCTTCCCGACCCGACCGTTCCCGCTAAATTTAGATCTCGTTTCCAGAATCTCACATTTAAATTTCCGCTACTGAAAGAAAGACAGATAGGCTGACAAATAAAAGTGTAGTCTGCACAAAATTGTATGTTATTTTATTCGTCTTGTCAAGAGTCTTGAATTTATTGCCTTTGACTTGAATTTATATGAATTATCTTAAGACACAAAATTAGTTTAATATTTTATGCAACACAGTAGGAAAAAAAAGTGTCAGAGAAAATAAAAATGTTGTACAAAAATTGTAGGCTATTTCTTATTTTTATTCATCTTGTCAGGATACAATTCGTTTAACATTGACAACACAATAGGGAAAAAGTGTC